TCCCCCCGCCCCCTGCCCCGCGCTGTGCTACTGGGTCAGGGTCCTGCCTATTCTTCAAGACCCAACTTGCCTGTCCCTGCGTGTGAAGCCTTCTCTGACTGCCCAGCTGGAGATGGTCACTCTGTCCCAGTACCCCCTGCGGTGAGGTTCCTGCCAGGGTGTGAGCGCGTCAGTCACTGCATCGGCTTCTTTCCACATTAGACCCGGTCCTCCCTCTGCCCTCCGTCTGTACCTGCTGGATAGGATACAGGCAGCAGGGTTGTTACTGTAACTTAAGGGAGAGAGGTAGCTGCCAGTCTGGGCTGAGACGAGGAGGGAAGCTGTTGAGGGCTGGGTAGCGGAAAGGCTCTGAAGCTGGGCCGGCCGCTAGCGTGTGACCCTCGGCTGCTAAAACTTCCTTAGACTTGGCTGCATCACCTAACGGAGATAATGCTTATCTCATTGGCTTGCGGTAATGATCGACCCGGATGCCCTGTGGTCAGAGGGCAAAGCTGTTAGTAAGCACTCAACATAGTATCTTCTTGCAGTGTCTCCCTAGTCAGAGGAATTTTTCTCTTGGAAGGGGGCACAGACAACCTAGCCGTCTGCAGCCTTTTGGCGAGGAGGCTCTTGGAAGCGGCTGCCTATTTTTCTTTGCCAGCCTGTTCAGGGGAGGAAGGGCCAGCTCTTCCTCAGTGCCTTGGTGTGGACTGAGACTCTGAGACCTCTTGGGACACACCTGAGGTACTGCCAGGTCAGCTGTAGGGCAGGGCAAGGCCCACCAGTGGGTCATGCCGACTGACACACAGCTGAGAGGCCCCAGGAGCCAGACAGGGGGTTCAATGTCAGCAAAGCAAGGTGGCCATGTCTACATCTACCAGGAGAGGGTAGGGTCCAGGGCTGATGTTCCGATGGGCAGAGGCAGCGAGAGGGCTCAGCCTGCACAGAGAGGACAAATGGATGAAGACAGCAGCTGCACAGTGGGTAGGGTATAGGGTGGGGAGAAGAGGTCTGTACATGAGGCTGAGAAGGGCCGGGTCAGGTCCCTGCTGCGGGGAGAACTAGACCACAGAACACGCCTCCTCCAGGCAATTTCCTCTCTCTCTTGCCCGCTCCATCTTTTCCCTGCCCCGGATGCAGCACAGAGCCTGGCCTCCACGGACTACTCTCATGGGGCCAACAGGACAGTGTTTGGAGTGGGGCCTGGTCAGGAAAACCCAGAAGTTGTGCATGCTGTAGCTTTGTTCCTACAAACTCCCCTGCCTCTCCCACGTCCCAGGTGGTACCACCTCTGTCCCCCGCCCTGCTTCATCTGCAACATCTGACTCCCACTGCCCATGAGGTTCCGGGGAGGCTGCCTCCCTCTCTCCAGCCTCACATACACACCTCCAGGTCTCAGGACAGAGCCAGGGTGAAAACTGGAGAAAGTGCAGGCAAGTGTGGTGGTCACACAGCATTTCCAGCGGACTCGGAGCCGCATGGCTCCAACCAAGTAAAAGGCCTTTCCAGATGCCCTCCAGGCCAAGGGTTCTGCCCAGCAGCTTTCACCCTGCTTTATTTGCCAAGTAGCAAAGGTGGGATGGGAGAGGGAATGGGAAGCTGTTCCTACCCGCTACCTCCTTCTCCCTGCCCCCGATCACCCCCACAAAGCCACAGTGGATCTCCCTCTGCAAAGATGGTCTGCTCTCTTCCTGCCAGCTTCCTGCTTCCCTGGATCCCCCAGAAGCAGAGCCAGGGGCACCTGGTTGGCGGGAGAGGAACTTCGGGCGCATGGGTGCCCAGAGTCTGGCCTCCCACTTCCGAAACCCCCACTACTGAAAGCTGCTCCCCCTAACCTGCGCCCCTCCCAGCCCAGCACCTACTCATTTACTCTTGCAGCCCCAATGGTCATCAGGCTGTTCTTAGTCACCCCAAGGGCCGCATCCTAAAAGTCTGGTCCCAAATGGTTTTTCTTTTTCTCTCTCCTTAAAAAAATTTTTTTTCTGACTATAGTAGCGTCTGGCAACTTCACCTGGGGCCGGTCAGGGAAAGGGCAGGATGAATAATAAAAGATGCGAAGTTGAAAGGCCTGGGCAACCACCTTCCCTGTATGAAAGGCTTCTCCTACCCCGGGGGTTATGAGCACAGGACAGCACTTGGAGCGAGGCCCATGCAGCACAGATGGTTGCCAATGCTACGGACACAGCCTGGGTCCTGGGGCCAGGGAGGGCAGAGAGGCAGTGGGACACCGGGCCTGGCCACACATCCCCGGGACAGGGGTGGTGTGGGAAGAGATCCCCAGATAGGTGAGCACACTAGAAAGGCCCCCAAGGTGTGCCAGTCCTCAAAGTCCCTGTGTGCAGGCAACTGACTGCCCTGTTCTGAGCCCACCAGGGAGCAGGCTATGCGCTTGCTTCTTTGGGGGGCCTCCTGCCCCGCCATTATGGAAGTCCCCTACCATCACACTTCTTGCCCTCACCAGGTCCCTACCTACTTGTTCCGGGCCAAGGCATGCCGGGGCTGCTGTCTCCCACTCAGCCTCATCATCTACGTAAAGAGCGCCCTGGGGCGGGGCAGCGTGTGCTGTGGCAGTGGTCGCCACACCCAGCCGGGGCTCCACCAGGAGCTTTTACCACTGTCGTGTGATTGTGGGTAACGCCTGGCGTCCACTGGATTGTGAACCTGCAAAGGCAGGGATGTTGACCTCCTTTTCCACTGTTCATTCCCGGCACCTCGCTCAGGGTCTGGAGCACGATAAACAGTTGCTCAAGAAATATTCACCGAGTGAGATGGATGGATGAGGCGATGCAGTTTATCCTGCGCTACTGCCTTCTCAATTCCCAGGACACCTCCCCAGCCCATCGCCACCTGGGACTTCTCCAGAACCCACTAGGGGACGAATAAGGGCCTGAAGTTTGAAGACTTGCAGTCACAAACGGACATCTGAGCGGATGATGCAAAGTGCTCCACTGTGCCTGACCAGGAAGGCTCACGCCTTAAGTGGTGCTTCCTTGCTATGCTCTGGGAGAGGGGGCTGGGGGGTGCAGACTCCCCCTTCTGTAAAGGCAGATCAGTGATCCTTTGATTAAAAGGCATTCTACAGACAAAGACAAGCACAGAGGCAGAAGCACAGGGACAGGCAGTGAGGAGAGAAAAATCGGAGCTGCAGCCTGCCCAGCCGCTGGCTTGCTACTGCCCTCGCTGTCAGGGCCTCTTGCGAGACAGCCAGAGCCTGGGGCGCCCCCTTCTACCTTGGCGTTTCTGGGTCGCGCACCATCCCTCTGCCCCTGAAGCACCGAGAGGGGAGAGGGGGGAGCCCAGCCCTCCCCCTGCCCACTCCAGCTGTCAATCTGCTGTCTGGAAGAAAGACTTGAAGCTTCATGACAGCTGTGGGCAACTTTGCCTGCCCCGCCTCCCGCCCCTGCCTGCCCTCTTCCCCTCTGCTCCCTGTCAGTGCTCTTCCCAAACTGCTTTCAGGCTGCCTTCCCTCCTCCCTCCCTCCTTCCCTCCCTCCCTCCCTCCCTCCCTCTTTCCTTCCTTCCTTCCTTCCTCCCTCCTTCCCTCCCTCCCTCCTTCCTTCCTTCCTTCCTTCCTTCCTCCCTTCCTTCCTT